GCATAAAATCTCCTTCAGCACGTTGGACTGACGCACTGCAGCTTCGTGCAGTGGAGGGGAGGTTTCCCTGTGCAGGTCTTATAATGCAGCTATGACTCTGGTATCTGAGCACCTTCCAGGAGTGCATTAAACCACGTGACCAGCATCTGTCATGTGGTCCTTCCTCTAACCAGGGGGGCACAGCGCCTATGGATTATCATTATATGGTATTTGCAGCATCTTTGTTTTTTCTTGCCCCCCATCTTCCATAATGATCTATGTCACTCTGTCGAGTGAATTACTGCAGAAAAGCAGTGGGGACGGAGGGAGTAGTGGGGGAAGGGAAACCTGTGAAGTTCCCTTCCGATGTGCCCTCGGGGCGACAGGGTGCGGGAAAGCAGGCTCAGGGGACAAAGCATTATCTGGGGTGGCTTTCCCCCTTGTAGAAAATACTGGCCTTCAGCTCTCGTGTCCTGTGACTCCGTCAAGACCAACACAGAATCTGCTGACTGGAGGCAAAGGGGCACCCAGCAGAGCCCCCTGCTAGCCCTTGCCCCGTTGCTCACCGGCAGTGTGGCCAGACTGGAACCATGCTGCCATGGACCTTCCTAAGCCCCCGTTAAGGAAAGTTGGAGGAACTTTCAACTTTGGAGGAAAGGTGATGCAGCCTCAGGGTGAGTATTCCCTGCAGGCTGGGAGGCTGGGGGGGGATATACATCCCAACTGTAGTGTTAGGCCTGGCTGCCTAGAGCCACTGAGTAGAGAGGCCACTAGTGACATTAGGGGAGAAATATAAAAGCTGTAGGCTAGCAAGTTTTTCATTCAATTTCTCACCTTCCTCCTGATGCCTGGAGGCTCTGTGTATTTGACACACACATCGCATCTCTAGTGTGCTCCCACCCAGCTCCTCTCCATGACTGAATCCTGGGAACAGCATTATGGAGACCTGTAACATACTGGATCAGCATGCAGCACAGACCATGTGTATTATTTGTCTTGTGGTAGTGACTAGACCCACAGCCATGGACCATTCCCCCATTTTGCTAAGTGCCGGACAAACACAGACCAAAGATGGTCTCTGTCCAAAGAGCTTGTTTCCTGGTCATGGTAGGTTTGTCAGTGTCTATTGTTAAATCACAACTACAGTTGGCTTGAAAATTTTCATGTAACCCCAAAGCTATGTTTTGCTGAAAATTTTTTTGATGAAAAATGTTCAGCCAGCTGCAAGAAGAAAGTTGTTCAGGAAGAGCATGGTAGTGGTAAGGATCTTACATAGCATTTTCCATCCCAAAGGACCCTAACGCTTGAAATGCAGACCCTTCTGGGGAGCCACATGGCAGTTATTTAGTAGCACACAACGCCACTACAGAGTAACTTAGGGCAGGAAATGTAGACAGCCATTTTCGACTGATATAATGGGGAATTTAGATAAGTGGAATATTACCTGAGCTGGAAGTTGGCCAGGACAATGACAGTCCTTAACCCCTATTCTCTTATGTTAAATCACTATGAGAATATGTATCAAGGGGTCACAACCTCAGCTTTACATCCCCTCTAAGAAATGGATGGCTGTATCGTTGTATTATCATTTTTGTTTTACGTGCAAAAATCCTTTTCGCTGAGTGTGGAGTGGGGATGAATGTGGGTGGAACTGCTGTGCTAACATAGTATACAATTTGTAAACTTCAAACATCTTGTCAATTTCTGAAATGTGCTTTAAAAATTATCAAAAGGGTTTAATACAAATAGTACACTATCAGCAAAAAAAAAGTTTTTGAAAACCAAAGCCTATCTGGAGTTAAACTGTAGGTGCACTTAGAAAAAGCATCAATCTATATTTGATTTCCCTTTTACTTTCATTTAGCTGAGAAGATTATACAGCGCTTTTAGACCTGGAAAGTTTCAAGAGGCCCCGTTAATTCACTGCCCTATTTATCTATGACTTTCATGTACAGTTGCATGGTATTATTGTGTCAGATATGTTAAATTAACCATCTGCTTTGGTTGGAAAGATACTGAGGGAACTGAGAAAAGCAATCTGATCTGCGGAAAAATAAATGTTGTTTTTAAAAGTTTAAAGGGACTCTGAGATAACGTGTCAAGCAAGTTAGGTCCCCAATTAAAAACGGGTTTACAAAACTGAATATCAGTAAAAAGATTATCATGACTGATTTTTTTTTCTCAGAGAAAACAGGTACTTTTTAAAGAGGTGTATATAACGTAAGAACGACCATACTGGGTCAGACCAAAAGTCCATCTAGCCCAGTGTCCTCTCTTCCCACAGTGGCCAATGCCAGGTGCCCCAGAGGGAATGAACAGAACAGGGAATCATGAAGTGATCCAGCCCCTGTTACCCATTCCCAGCTTCTGGCAAACAAAGGCTCAGGACACCAGCCCTGTCCATCCTGATGAACAGCCATTCATGGACCTATCCTCCATGAATTTATCTAGTTCTTTTTTTGAACCCTGTTATAGTCTTGGCCTTCACAACATCCTCTGGCAAAGAGGTCCACAGGTTGATTGTGCATTGTGTGAAAAAAAAAATCCTTTTGTTAGTTTTAAACCTGCTGCCTATTAATTTCATTTGGTGACCCCTAGTTCTTGTGTTATGAGAAGGAGTTAATAACACTTCCTTATTTACTTTCCCCACACCAGTCATGATTTTATAAACCTCTATCATATCCCCCCTTAGTCGTCTCCTTTCCAAGCTGAAAAGTCCCAGTCTTTTTAATCTCTCCTCAATGGAAGCCGTTCCATACTCCTCATAATTTTTGTTGCCCTTTTCTGTACTGTTTTCCAATTCCAATATATATATATTTTGCAATGGGGCAGCCACATCTGCATGCAGTATTCAAGATGTGGATGTACCATGGATTTTTATAGAGGCAATATGATATTTTCTGTCTTAATATCTATCCCTTTCTTAATGATTTCCACCATTCTGTTTGCTTTTTTGTTTGCCGCTGCACATTGAGTGGATGTTTTCAGAGAACTATCCGCAATGACTCTGAGATCTCTTTCTTGAGTGGTAACAGCCAATTTAGACCCCATCATTTTATATTTATAGCTGGGATTATGTTTCCCAATGTGCATTACTTTGCATTTATCAACATTGAATTTCCTCTGCCATTTTGCTGCCCAGTCATCTAGTTCCGAGAGATCCTTTTGTAGCTCTTTGCAGTCTGCCTTGGACTTAACTATCTTGAGCAATTTTGTATCCTCTGCAAATTTTGCCACCTGACTGTTTACCCCTTTCTCCAGATCCAACTGACTAGCCTCTTACTCCAGGAGTGTGATTCCACTAATTTCAGTGGGGTTGCTCACAGGGAAAGACGCCACTCATCATAACAATGTGTATCAAAATGTTGCCCGCTGTTGTTGTGAGTTATATGAATAATTTTGTTTTAAATTGGTCCATCCCATTTGGCCCATCTTTCCTCAAATCATTCTTTTTTACATCCAGTGTAGACTCCTACTGATAACATTTTCAATAGCCCCTTTGGGACTTAGGTTCCTAAGTCACTTCAGCAACTTTGAAAATTTTCAGGAGTTAGACTCCAAGGACCAGATCTGTAAATATATTTAGGTGCCCAAGATGCAGGTAGTGCCTAGTGAGGTTTTTCAAAAGCCCTAGGCTTCTATCTGCATTTTTAGGTGCCTAACTGCCTTTGAAAGTCTGGCCGCTAAGGACTAGTTTCTCAAGTGGGACTTGAACATTGCCGTGGGAAATCGGCAACTCTCTCTGACCTGCATTTATGCATCTAACTCCCTTTGGAGGGTCAGGCTTAGGCCACTCCATTCCCATTTCAATTGGACCTTAGCCAGATTTCCCCAACCTCTGCTCAATATTCTGGCTTTTATGAATCCCATTCTTAGGTGCCAGCTCTTCCCAGGCATTGTATAGGGAGCCTGGGTGTCAAACTCATAAGTTTTGAATTCCCTTAGGTAGCATGGCACTTAAAATGTAGGCATGGCAAAGCTGAGCCTGGCAAGGTCTAAGTCCCTTTGTGAATCTGGCTCTAAGTCATTGCATTTCCTGAATTCTTTTGATCTGGTCAAACATATTTTCAAAAAGACTAAGCATCCAGTAACTCGCATTGAGAATAATCAGTGTGGAAATGCAGAGGCCTGAAATATATTTCATCCATCTGGTTGCAGAAACTGACCGGGCCATCCAAGCTGAGTGGACCACAAAAAAGGAAACAACTAACTTGAATGGTGTAAAGTAAGGTAAGTTTTTTAAAAATACCAATTTCAGTAAGCTAAGATGTCAGCAGCAAGGAACTTTTTGTGTTTTGTTTATAAGTATGTTTTTTTATTGAAATTGTCCCATTAAATTAGCACCATGTGACTGATATAATATTGTATCGCTGTGTCGGTTCATTATACCCCTGACACCATTAGTGTAATGTGGCTCAGTCTACAGTGCTTAGATTTTATTTTGCTCATGACAATAGAGTTGCCAAAAACAAACACTATAACCCTGACTAAAATCACATGAAAACAGGCCGCGTATCCAATCTGGTATAAATAATGTGACAGGATGTGACAATTCTCTGCCATTTTAACAAATTGGGAACAGTTTCAGTATGAGAGTAGCATGTTGCCGTCATCCACACATCTATTTTCCCCTTTCTTTCATTTCATTTTTTGAAATCCAGTAGAAGCTTATGATTATGGAGATAGTGTTGTGTGTCAGTCAAGCAAACTCATGCAGGCGATTTGGGCACATATTGATGCACAAAACTTTTCACCTCACAAGCCGGAAGAGGGTTACTGTTAAGCTTGTAAATGTATTTCAAAATCTGTGCAAACATATTACTTTTGAACCTTGGACAACAACATGAAATAGGAGGCACAATTTCCTAGCCTGCATCAAATGGAATTGATCTTATAAAAATAAACCCAATTATAACAGACATGTGGCAGCTTTCTGAGCAGGTCACCTGCTCAGCTCTGTATGTTTCAAGTTAAACAACAAGCGGTATGGCTCCAATTGAAAGATATTGAAACAGCCTTACCAGATGATTCATAGTCATGCTGCTCTTTTTCCTTTGTCTCCACCTTTTGGCCAGATTTTGGGAATGTGCACAGTTTATTCTAGCCAGTTACCCATCGTTGATTTCTTAGGAAATGGGATTTGTTTGTGCTGATGTTTGTTGTTTTGTTTTTTCCATATTCAACCTGGACTTGTGATCTGCATGACTTTCATTCTGAGGAAAAACAATAAATCAAGAGATAGACGATATTCTCTCCCCTTGAGAGAGAGAGCACAGTGTGTCTCCTACTCTCGTAACCACACCCATCTTGAAATGCCTCATCCAACTGTTCCACTCTAGCGGAGAAGGAAAATGACTTGTCATATTGAAAGGTGTAGTGCACAAAATAGAATCCTAACCCCTCTCTTTGCAGTTACAAAGCGGCACGCTCCGTGCTCACCAGGTAAGTTAAATCATAGTTGATTACTCATATGCTACAGTGATAGGGAGCATATAAGCCCCTAGGTAGATGTATAGGTTACTAGTCTGCTGTCTGCTTGTAAGAGGAGCACAGAATTTGCAGCCCAAGGGAAGGCAGGAGGAAGAGTCATTATGTCACTTTTTTTGCCCTCCTGATCCAGGGCTGCTCTGGGGGCTAGAGTGGTCCCTGTCATAACGAAGAGAGCCCTGGGGCTTTGCTAAATTATGGCTGCCTCTTGGGCTGCCCTCTGTGACACAATGCTGCCTGGAATCTGTGCAGCATTGCAGGCCCTGATGTGCCCCTCCTAGCCCTACCCCTGGACAGGAGTTGAGAGGGCCCTCCTGACCCAGCCGGAACCAGGGCTTTGACTCCCTTCAGGCTCTCAGGCCCTTTGAGCTAGCATAAAAGGGCCAGAGCAGGGTTGGGATCTCACTCACGGCATGAAAGTTCAGTCACTACAACAACCTGTTAGATAATGGCAAGCACTTTGTGTCTTTTCTTCTCTCACATTCTAACTTCTAGTTTATATTTTTCTCCCACTCCAGACTGTTGTCCTTCAAGTGTCATTTTTGGCCTACAAAGGTCTGGTTCTGTTCCAGAGTAGCATGTTGTCATAAATATAAAGGGAAGGGTAACCGCCTTTCTGTATACAGAACTATAAAATCCCTCCTGGCCAGAGGCAAAACCCTTTCACCTGTAAAGGGTTAAGAAGCTAAGATAACCTCGATAACCTGGCACCTGACCAAAATGACCAATGAGGAGACAAGATACTTTCAAAGCTGGAGGGGGAACAAAGGGTCTGCCTGTCTGTGTGATGCTTTTGCCAGGAACAGAAGAGGAATGGAGTATCAGAACTTCTGTTAAGATAGTAAGTAATCTAGCAGCTAGAAATGCGTTAGATTCCCTTTTGTTAAATGGCTGGTAAAATAGGTTGTGCTGAATGGAATGTATATTCCTGTGTCTTTTTGTAACTTAAGGTTTTGCCTAGAGGGATTCTCTATGTTTTGAATCTGATTACCCTGTAAGATATTTACCATACTGATTTTACCGAGGTGATTCTTTTACTTTTTCTTTAATTAAAATTCTTCTTTTAAGATCCTGATTGCTTTTTCATTGTTCTTAAGATCCAAGGGTTTGGGTCTGTGTTCACCTATGCAAATTGGTGAGGATTTTTATCAAGCCTTCCCCAGGAAAGGGGGTGTAGGGCTTGGGGGAATATTTGGCGGGGGGCGGGGGAGATGTCTCCAAGTGGGCTCTTTCCCTGTTCTTTGTTTAACACGCTTGGTGGTGGCAGCATAGGATTCAAGGACAAGGCAAAGTTTGTACCTTGAGGAAGTTTTTAACCTAAGCTGGTAAGAATAAGTTTAGGGGGTCTTTCATGCAGGTCCCCACATCTGTACCCTAGATTTCAGAGTTTGGAAGGAACCTTGATACACGTATACTATTGTGTCAAGAAGCAGGATGATATTGTGTCTGTCATATGGAAAAATCTCTCTGATTTCTGGGTGCAGACAAATCCCCATGGCAGGAGACACAGGGAGAGACAGACTCATGATGGTAGTTCAATCATGTTCCACTTTCTATTTTTCTGCTATTTCAGAAATCACCAAGGCACCAGACAATTAGGAACTCTATTTTCCAGCAAAGAAATTCCAAAAATAGAAATTATGTAGGTCAGGAAGTCATCCTTGTTCAAGTTCATGATTAAGTCTCACTTACATCTCAGTGAAGTCAATATGGGTTTAAAGTTAAATATGTGCTTAAGTGTTATTGAGAATCAGAGCCAAATAATTATTTATTTAGATTTATAAAAAGACTGAACAAAATAATAATGATCCATAGGTCCTATACAGCACATTTAATCAGTAGATCTCAAAATGCTTTGCAAAGGAGGTCAGTACAATTATCCCCATTGTGCAGGTCGGGAAACTGAGGCTCAGAAAAGTGAAAGTGAAGAGACATCTACATTTCTGTTCAAACAATGCTTGTGATGACATTTCTGTGTCTTTGGTTTAAAATTGTATCATTGAATACAATTCTATATGAAAAGCTAACGGGGATCTGAGTGCCACAAGAGGAGAATAAACAGATGTTGATGGCGATTTACACTCAGAATCAGTCCAAGTTCTTGATCCGCTGTTGTTTGGTTGGGAGTCTGAAATATGCTGAGATGTATATTGTACTGTAAAGGTGGACAAGGGATGATTACCTCTTCTGTTCATTTCCTCTGGGGCACCTGGCATTGGCCACTGTCAGAGGACCGGATACTTGGCTAGATGGACCTGGTCTGACCCAGTATGGCCATTCTTAAGGGCGCATGATAGCAGATTGAACTAAATGGAAAGTGAGCAGGCCCCACTGGGCAGAGTGTGCATTGTATTGTAAAGGCATAGAGATCTATATTGTGGTGAATGCTCTAGCACAATGTCTCCTGCTTGCTTTGAATGATTTCGCCCTGGTGGCTTGTGTACCTCCTAAAGCGACTGTCTGCTGCTGCTGCTGTTCAGGACAAAGGCCTGTAACAAACGTAAATGGTGTCCTCTGGACCAAAGGGTTAGTGGCAATCCAACCCTGTTTTCTAAAAAGCTTTACTCTTTTGGGATGCTGTGGGATTTGTTTACACACATCGTCATCTATTATAGTGCTTTCGAAAATTCCTTCTTTGGGCTCCAAACAATACAGTAATGTAGTTATAATGGTGTGTCTTGTTGCTATGGATTTCTAAATGCAGGTGTTCTGCACCAGTGGGTACAGCTTTTGGTGCATGAGAATTATCAGTAGCTGATCCCAATTTTTCCCTTTTTTAATTTTTTTTTTTAAAAAAGAACCAACTGAAGTGTCAAGTACTTCCCAGAATAGAACCTGAATCTTTGCAAAAATTTGGAGCTGTTCCCTTCTCTCCCTGTTCCCCATTAGATCCCTGACCTCAGGTTATGTTTAGGGCCCTACCAAAATCACAGCAGTGAAAAATGCATCATGGACCATGAAATGTGGTCTCCCCTGTGAAATCTGGTCTTTTGTGTACTTTTACCCTATACTATACAGATTTAATGGGGCAGACCAGTGTTTCTCAAACTGGGGATCCTGACCAAAAAAGTGCTGCGGGGGGGGGGGGCAGGGGGTTCCAAGGTTATTGTAGGGGTGTTGTGGTCTTGCCACCCTTACTTCTGCGCTGCTTTCAGAGCTGGGTGGGTGGAGAGCGGCGGCTGCTGGCCAGGTGCCCAGCCCTGAAGGCAGCACCCTGCCAGCAGCAGTGCAGAAGTAAGGGTGGCAGTTCCATACAAGGCCATCCTTACTTCTGTGCTGCTGCTGATGGCGGCGCTGCCTTCAGGGCTGGGCTCCCGGCCAGCAGCCGCCGCTCTCCACCCACCCTGCTCTGAAGGCAGCGCCACCATCAGCCGCGCAGGAGTAAGGGTGGCAATACCAGCCCCGCAAATAACCTTGTGACCACCCCACCCTGCTTTTGGTTCAGGCCCCCTGCAGTTACAACACAGTGAAATTTCAGATTTAAATAGCTGAAATAATGAAATTGACCAAAATGAATTTGATAGGGCCCTAATTATGTTGTATGGTGTAAAAGCCCTTTTATTAGACCCAGTGCACTGCTGTAGCAGAGATCTTTTGCTATGGTGTTTCCTGGATGCGTGTCATAGACTCTAATCTGTGGCATCTCTGAGCAAGAAACTTTGAGAAGACAGCAGCTTTGCAAAGAGCGCTGTTGAGAGCCCAGTGGGGAGACTGGCTGACCTGGTAATCAGATCATCAAAGCTGAGGGGGCTTCAGCAGTATGTAATGAAGAGAAATCACTTCACATTGAAAACAGCAGGTTGGCCTGTTTGGTGCAGATATTTCTAATTAGAAGTGATGATGAGTAGTGGCTGGTGTCATCACTCGGATCCTGGGAGGAAGATGCCTTCTCCCTCACAGGATTTTTATAGATGTCTCAACGGGACTGAGAAGGTTTGAACTCTGTGCTGAGGCAAACAGCTGAGCAGAACCAATACTGCTGAAATGACTGCCCCCATGATGAATGGACTAAGAACCTTTTTGATGGGAAAGGTCACCAGGGGAACCCCATGGGGACTGTCCTACCCTTGGTGCTGCCCTGCAGGTTTTGGAGAAGAGGAAGACCAAGTTCAGGCAGCTCTGTTGTAAAAGAGAGGCAGATCTGCTTTTGACTTGGAATGAGGGTGCCATATAGCCCATAGCAAGCTGTGGATTCCCAGCTGTGGGGCTGGGAATCAATGCTCAAGCAACAGAGAGGAAAGGATTTGCATGCACATTTAACAGGGAAGTTGCTAACAGTAGGTGTCAGTGTGTCACCAGTGAATTTTGCTGACACTGAGCTCAGCTAAGTGACTATAGCGGGAATGTGGGACGGGATAGTGCGAGGAGGGGAGAGCCCAAATTCCAACAGGATTCTGCAGTCCAGTCAGCCGTGTGTTGAGACTTCACACAGCAGGTGGCAGAGAGAAGTCCACAGATACCAGTAGCAGCCAGAATCTGCCTTTCGGAGCTTGGCTTTCCTGCTGAGACTTCAAGCTTACTCTTTGCTTTGGTCCGTCTGCAGCTAGAGTGGGGATAGCACCTTATAGTATGGAGCCCTGTGGTCTGTCTTGGTGGCTGGAAACCTGTGCTGGGCTTTTACTCTAACTCCCCTTCATTTCTGTCCTCAGGCCAGAAGGTCATTGACCTTTCCTTGGGGACAGCCCTGGAAACAGCCATTAGTTCCAGGTTTTTTAGAGAGGGCCATGGGCAATAAAAGTAAGGTTTGAGGCAGACATCAGTCCGAACCTTGCTCCGGTTTGAGCAGTTCCAGATTTCCTAGTTCAGACATTTTGTGTGAGCCTCATTTCAAGGTCTGGGCAATTAATTAGTGTTACGATTTATTATTATTTGAATTATGTTAGCACCCTAGTCCAGGATAGAGCAGGACCCAAGGTGCTGTACAAGCACAGGACAAAGATGGTCCCTGCCCCATTAGTAAATCCTGGGCTGGTTTCATGAGCAGTGTACACTGGCTAAAGCGGGGCTGGCTCAGCCCTCCTCAGCCAATGGGGCACTCTCGCTTAGAACTGAAGAGGTTGGTATAGCAGAGAAGGCTGTTGATCTCTGTTATCTGCCTTCAGAAGAAGATGAAATACCCCAACCAGCTCCTCCCCCAGGCTCCTTCCCCGACAACTGCTTCTGGGCAGCAGAGTAACAATTCAGCCCAAGGAACATTTACTTTCTGGCATCTCAGGTGATTCAGCTATGCCACAAAGGGTTAATGTCTCTTGCATTTTTGACCTAGCTCCCTGGCTACTGTAGCTGCAAAGGTTTTACTCCTTGCTGTAAATATCCGAATCCTTTCAAAATCCTGTTTAAACTCTTTGCCTCAATGATTTCCTGGGGCATTGAATTCCATGGGCTGATAATATGCTACTTAAAGAAGCTTTCCCTTCAGTTCATTTTACATTTTCTGCCTGCCAATTTCATCAAGTTCCCCCTTGTAATTGTGTTATGGGACTGGGACTACACATGGAAGAGGACCAGATCTCTTTCAACTAAACCATTCATTGTTTTATTGCTCGGTCACGTCCCTTCTTACTCTCCTGCTTTCTAAACTAAACAGCCTTAGTCATTTTAGTGTCTTGCAATATTTTAATCTCTTTCTCTCCCCATCCACATGAATCTTTGATATTTGTTGTACAGGAGTTGAGGAGATCTACACTGAGCATAATATTCAGGCTGAGAGAGCACCAATGATTTATAAAACATTAGCACCTGTACAATATTTTCTTTATTATTCCCTGTTCCGTTATAAGAAAAGTGGAGTGTCCAATCATTTTCTTTTTTTAAACTACCCCCAGTACACTGGACTATTTCAAATGACTCTTACATTCTTTTCCTGAAATGTTCTGGCTAATGTAGATCAGAGCAGCGAGTATGAAACATGGGAATTATTTACCCAACTACGTAGCTCTCTGCATTTACCTAATTTAAATTACAGCTGCTATCTATCTGCCCCATTGCCAGGTTTGCTTAGCTCTGTTTGGAGTACCTTGCCATCCCCATATCAACTGTCCTGGTTGTTTCTGTTATGCTAATTCTGTGTAAACCATGATTTTCTTCACTCTGCGGACCCAAACCTACTCACCCTTCTCCTAGATTTTTGTTTAGTTTCAGACTTGACGCTTAGAGCATTTTCATCAAAAAGGTTCACTAAGGGTATATCTAGACTGCAAGCAGAGTGTGACTGTACATTATGTAGACATACCTGAGCTAGCTGTAACCTGGCCTGGGCTCGCAGCCTGCCCAGAGCCCTGGCTTATTAACTGCATGGCTAGCCTGCCCTAGAGGCCACGCGGAAGCCTGTGCTGCAGCTTCATTGCTCTGAAACATGAGCTAGCTTGTGTGTGTCTGCGTGAGCCACAGTGGCACCCTGGGGCCTGGTCTATGAGAATAGCATAGCTGAAGTTGACATATCTTAGATCGACTTAGAATCACTTACTTTGCGTCCTCATGGCGCGGGATCGACGGCTGCTGCTCCCCCGTCGACTCCGCTTCCGCCTCTCGCCCTGGTGGCGTTCCGGAGTCGACGGCAGAGTGATCGGGGATCGATTTATTGCGTCTACACTAGACGTGATAAATCAATCCCCGATAGATTGATCACTACCTGCCGATCTGGCGGGTAGTGTAGACGTGGCCTGGGATTGCAGAGTAGACATACCCTAAGATTCAGTGATCCTATGAGCGAGTGTGGGCCCAGATTAGAGTCCATCTGGGCTGATACAGGGTCTTTTATCAAACCCATGCGTCACTTGTGGCTTTGCTTGATTTCTGCATGAAGCTGGGTGAAACACTGAAACTTCAGCTGAGTTTTGCTTTCAGATTTTGCATTCATTTGAACTTGACTCTTAGAACACAGGTGAATGGGCTCATGAATATCAACACCAAAGAAAATGTTCACATGAACCATGTTCCATGTAGCAATCTTGTTTTGCTTTAATTAACTTGCACTTAATGAAATTAACGTTTGATTTGAGGGGTTTGAAGTCTATCTACAGCTGTTGCTGACCTTCTATTACTCCTCTATGAAAATATATTTGACTTTTAGGTAACAGATTTGTAATCCATTCTTCTTAGCATCCAAGCATCCTGCTTTAGTGTTCTATAGTATTTTTAAACAAAGCTCACTGGACGGGACTTGCTGGAGAGTAAAACAAGCAACATCAGGCATGTCTCAATTTGTGGTACCGGAGGTTTTACCACTGTTGCCAGGAATGCATCATTATCTCTTTGGCAGGTTTTGAAGTGCCAGTCGCAAGTAACCTAATACGACAGAGCACTTGTTTTAATTGCCCGAGGCACCAAAACTCATTAATATTGTATTCGCTGCTAATTAAATAATGTGCTGTGTTGTATTAGCCACTTGGTAATTGATAATGAGGTAAGCTGGCAAGGTTTGTTTGTTTGTAGCTCACAATTTGATTGCTTTTAATTTTGTCACCAGGCAGGTCTTTGTGCCATTAACAAGACTTTTTGGTAGCCAACAGGCCTCAAACCATATGATCTTTTTCATTAAGTGCAAGGGAATTAAAGCAATACAAGATTGCTACGTAAGAGGTTGTTTCCAGCTCACAATACAAATCTTGTGTTTTGGAAACTGTGTATTTAGAAAGTTCCTGACACACAATAACAATTCCTAGCTCTTGTATATTGCTTGCCATCAGTAGATCTCAACATGCTTTCCCAAGTAGGTCAGCATTATTATCCCCATTTTAGAGATGGGGAAACTGAGGCACAGGGAGGGGAAGTGACTTGCCCACGTTGACTTAGCCAGCCGGTGGTAGAAACAGGAATATAACTCAGCTCTCAAGGGACCCAATGCAGTGCACGATCCACAAGGCCAAGCTGATTAACTGTTATATCCTCCCTTTTGTACATGAGCATCTCATGTTGTTTTTAGAGAAATCATGGTTTCTGGATATAAACTCATTAAATGGGGTCAGGGATATGTCGGGTTGGATTTAGGTATTGCCACTCTAGAGTCATGTGACTCCATTAATCTCAGCTTTCATTTAAAAAAAGTTTATAGCTGTCATGATAGTGAAACAAAGCATGAAAATGCAACCTGGTTGTATTCAGCACAGTGATGACTGCAGAGAGCCTGAAACAGTAGCAAGAAGGGCCCACAGCAACCACCACTTCAATCAGGTGTGCTGCCATGATTTGGGGGCAAGGTCTTGGGAGTGGAGCTAGATAGGGTCCACATTGTATTATACCTGGAGCCTCAGATTGCTTTCATCTGGCCTTGGTCTCAGGATGGTTCAGGGAACTGACCATTCATCTCTAGAGGCCTGGCTGATTTCAGCCTCCTCCCAAATGAAAGCTGGCCCACAGTTTGAAGACCACCAAGACAAGGAACGTCTGGCTGGGAAGAGGCAGAAGGAGAACAACCAAACCAAGGTTACAGCAGGTTGGGACTGAGGGGCATTGATGAAACAGCGAGTGAGAAGCAGACACTGCAGTAACTGGTCTCTAGCTGCTGCTGACACAGAGGTGCATGCTGGGAATTTGTACCTTCCAGAGTCTTTAGGGGCCAGTGGGATTTCAGGAGTGACTCCTGAGGGATGCAGACGTTGTTTGCACTGCCAGTTTCCCCTTAGAAGTTCCCAGTGCTCAGGTGAAGCTCAAAGCACCATAGCAGCCTTGCTAGCAGGAGGAACTCAGGAGATACTCTGTTGGATAGGACCATCCCCTTTCAGGGTGGAGAAGATGCACCACCCAAGCACTCTCTCACTGCCACCAGACACTAACAAGGAAAAGGAGACTTGTAAATTTCACTGTACAGGGTAGCGGTTCCATTTTTACAAAAAGATTTGGTGGAAATCGACTGAAATTAAAATGTAAAATCCAGTAAAATAAAAGAATCAAGATTGTGTCAAAGCTGAATAAAGTACTAAAATAGGACTGAAGAAAAGCCATTCTTGGCTAAAAGTAGTTGCACGTAAGTCGTTGCATATCTTACCTCAGTAGGGGAATTAGTTGTGCAGAAATGCTGCTGTAAATATAGAAGTGAAGCTGATATCTACAATGTCTGGTTTGCAAAGGTTAATGGAGACTGGCTCACCCTATTACCAATGGCTGTCTCAACAAGCATTTGCAACCCATGCTGTGTCATATTTAAATGATGCATTTTGCCAAATGCAACCCTTTAAACTGCCTGAATGTACAAAAAGCACTTAGCAGATATTACACTCTGGGTAAGTCTAGACCATTTATTTGCTGTATAAGCATAATCATTTTTCTTTTATGTATAAAACATATTTTTGTTACCTTCCCTAGGCATTTCTGATGTGCAGGGATCTCATTCTTATTAACTTGGATAATGCACAGCATGGCTTACATGTTAATAGAGGTAAATAAATATGCTTTTCCAATGCATATTTTTCCCCTGAATGCTTGCCTTTGATTTGTTTAGTGCCTGGTCAGAAATCCAATGTGTTCAGGTTGACACGATTGTTGTTGGTTGATTAAGTCACATTTTGATTTTCAATTATTTGGCAGTTGACAGATGCATGCATAGCCTTTATCTTAAATAGCGGTACTCTCAGACTAATTCTACATACAGCTCACTGTTTTTAAATTAGAGACATTACTGCTGCTTGCCCTGCCTGGGATTGAAATCCCATGGGTGATGGGCTATTGCAAGGGAGTGTCATTTATACCTCTCTGCAGCCATGGTGAAAATGGTTCCTGATCTTTATGGGGATGTGGTGCACGGTTTATAATGCAGAATGGTCCCACCTGTAACATTTTGGGACCATTATGTACAACACCAAACCCTACAGACTGTTGCCTGTGTCAACAGGCCTTTAGGCTATATTAAAAATCAAAGAAAACTTGCTGGCTGAAACACTGATGGACCTAAATGTTACTGATTTGGGCCTGTGACACTGCACAAAAGAATGTGATGGGGGGGAGAGGGAATAATGCAAAAACCTTTGTGGCTGGAATGCAGCTATAGAGCCCCTCAGTCACTCCTCAAAACTGCGGGGCTGATGTAGGTGCACAGTGATTAAGGGGAGGGCCCCAGAAACAGCACAAGCCAAGGATATAGAGAGCTCTGACCCAGCTCATCCCTGTCCTTCCCTGCAGCCTCTCACTACTCAAGCCACAGAGGCTTGGGTAGGCTGAGGTCCTTGTTTCTCTTGGTTGCTAGTCCCTGGCTCTGCTTTGTGGCTTTTTGGAGGGGTTACTGCTACCTCAGGTGCAATGAAATCTCCTCAAGTCCCCCTTCCCCTTGTCTGCAGTCTCATAGGTGGGGACCACATGACGCTTAGCTGCCTTCCCCTTCTGACTGGGCCTCCCATGGCGTTCCCTGTTGAACTGCTCCTCTGCATTGCACAGCAGGGTATGAGCATATGGGCCTTTGACGTCTCTTTGCAAGGAAAGTGAATGCATTTCCTTTCTGCCTTTTCTTTTGTGTCCCACAGTGTTGTTATTAGATCAAATGATTTGTTTGGTATTTACAGAGCAGACTGGAGTAAATTACCACCTAATGTAATCTATTTTCTTCATTTCAAAAAGCATGGTGATAAACTTTTGGGGTAAGTGAATGTTAGATTTCAGCTAAATCCCAACAGTTCCAGTTTAAATTGCTTTTACACACCACAGCCTCTCCTTTCTTAATGTGGCTGCTCTTGCTGTGAGGGAATTAAGTTAAATTTGCAACTGAGAGCATATGCTGCATTACATTATACTAGGTCTTGCAGCCTAGGACCTAGGAGAATTTGAACTATAATACTCTTACAAAAAGCAACATAAAGAAGGGCTTTCCTGCTCTACCCCTTCCCACCTCCGGCAACTGCTCTCATGGAAGAAAAACAACATTTAGTCAGCCAGCCATGAGCATGAGCAATTGGTTATATCCGAGTCTCGAACATCTAAAAGATGAGCAACACTGAAATCCTCTTGCCCTTAAATACTGTAAGACTTAAAACATCTCTGAACTGTGTGCCACTCCAACTGATGGCTGGGATGAATCAGACCAGCCATATGGCAGGGAGAGAACTAATGATGAGGCAGAAGGTTTAATTCTCTGAGCTTAAAAGTGCACATTGAGTTTCTATTTTAAAACAACAACCCATATTTAAACTGCATGGGTTCAAGTGGCAGAGGGTATTTTGGCTTGGATGTATACACGGGCTTATGATACAAACACACAAAATGCTGTTTTTATTGCTGTGCTCATCTGCTCTTTTGAGTAGCCACAACAAAACCCTGGGTGTATAAATATCCTGCTCTGTGAAGCGTTCTGTGCTTGTGATTACAGCAAAAATAACATGGGCTGGTTTGTTGTGGTAGGGTCAACCCCAGTGCACTGTTAAATCAACTGGCCTTTGCAGCCCCTTTGGGATTTTTGTTCACTGGAAGGAAATACTCATCTTATATCATCAAGACACTGGAGTACTCTACAACTGTGACTCTTAATTTAGACTCAACCTTTTGTAGTATTAAGTCGACAGGGTTCCTTTCATTATGCTTTATTGCTTCAGCAGTTTCTGGACTGCAGTCTCACTAGCTAGACAG